CCCCCCCCCCCCCCCCCCCCCACACACGTACATGTGTGTGCACCCCTCTGTCCCTGTTATTGCCCTCTCCACCCACCCCCTAGAATGCAAATTACCTGCAGTTGTCTTACTTTGGATACTTTGCATCTACGTATTATGGGACAATAGGGTTGGCCAGTGTAGGATTCCAGGATAAAAGGCTAAGAAAATCCAGCATCTGGTTTTAGCCATAAATTTGAACCTTTGCTCTACAGGTTTTGTCTCCCTTTTGGAAGTTGCACTGAAATCCTTGGAGAGTTACCAGACTCTGCAGTACCCTTGAAAAGCTCTCAAGGCACCCCAGGGTACCATAGCACCGTAGTTGATAATCAGTGGCCTAGGCTCTGTTTAGACTCTGGAGTCTTGAAACAGGTCCAGATCCTGCAGTTGGATCCCTGGACAGCAGACAGATGAATAGCCAGCATTTTGTCCACTCTTCCTTCCATTCAGTTAAATAGATGAAGCTTCAGATTATGGGGTTAAATTCAAAGTGCTATTTTCCTTTAACTGCAGATGTATGGCCCTCCCAGGCTTCCTGCTAGGGCTTGCCCCATTAAAGCTTTTATTGTCTGCCTATTCAATCATTAGCAGGCCGAGCTTTTTTCACAGCTTGTGACTCTTTGAACTTTACTGTGTTCCTGGGTTTTCTTAGTTTCCTGTTTGCTGGTTTCTCAGCAACAAACAGGAGCAAAATCAGGGCCTTTAGGAAAGATCACATGATTTACAAGAAAGGCCAGGCTGGCGGCAGAGAGGCTGCTAGCATGCTTGTCTGCATTCAGCAGCCTGGTTTCATGGAAATGGCACACTATTCAAGCCACTGAAAATGTAGGAAGTTTTTCTTTTTATACGGACAACAATGATTTTCAAAGTAGAAGAGTTGAGTCCTGGTGTGTGTGAACATTAGATTGTTAATATCTTGCCCTTAGCAGTACCCTGAAGGAAACAAGTATTTAAAACAGCTTGCTTTAAAAACAGCTTCCATTTGCCCATGGTAGCTGCATTAGCCTTATTGAAAGGCTGTATTCACATTAGAGCAGATACATTATATAGAAGATTAAAGGTGGACTTTTTAATCACTCTTCATAATGAGAGTTCTTCCTCTTGGAATTGAGTCCATTGGTTTCAGTGCAAGGAATTGTGTAACATGGGAGGCAGTTGTGCCACCCTTTGACCTGATGAAGAATATTGTCAGGTCTTACTTATTCCTTCATTCTACGCACACACATCGTGCCCTTGCGTTCAGGGTCCATGCTTTAGCTCCAGTTCAGATCTCTCAGTGATCTCGCTGGAAAGGAATTTGATGTGAACAGATGAGATACTTCCTCATCCACATAAGCCAGCTTGTCTCAAAAACTTCTCCATCAGAGAGAGAAATACAGAACTGATGCTGACCAGAAAAATGGGGGAGTAAATTACAGTACAAAACCAGTGGTTGGATGCCTTTGAGGATACCGCTGTACAGCAGAAGGTCACTGTGCAGAGATGCTCAAGATAGACCTGCACACACAAGCTCTGAATCTTATATACTATGTATAGCCACCTTAGCACAGAATTGTAATTAGTTCTGTGCTTGGTTGTCACATTGGCTGCGAAAACAGTGCCACTAGTCCATTGTAGTGTTTTTGGGGGAAATGCTTCTAAGTAAAAGTTCCCAAAATTCATGCTGTATGACTGTATTGTTCTATTCTCTGCCTGGTATAACTTACACACAGTGCATGAGATGTTCTGAAGAAATGAAGTCCTGTCCACTAGTTAAAGTGAAGTATTATTAGCAAGATTAAGGAATTGAGAGGATTGACTTTAAATACTGTTTCTCAGAATTTCCCTTTCTCAGTCATTTTTGAGAGAGGAACTTCATGCATGGCTTTTTTTTTTATTTGCTTTGGCTAATGGTGCTGATCTCTGCATATAGCAGCAATTGGGATGCAGCCTATATGCAAAAAGCCCCTCTTGTATCAAACAGGGGATGTTATCGTCTAAATATTTAAAGTTGCCGCAATGGATATATAATCATTTAAAAAGAATCAATATAAGATCTGTTATTTCTTCTTTTTCTAATTTCATCATCTAATTTTATAGTCTTGAATAGCTAACATGGGCATTGTACAGTTATTCCCAATTGTTAGTAGTTTTATTTTTAATATTAAGAAGCTTCACACAAAAAATTCATGTCAGGTCTTAAAAAAGGATGAATCCAAGACTGCTTTAATATCCTTTCTATGAGAACATCACAATCAAGAATTGGTAAGCAAATAACCTGTGATACACTTATTTCTAATTTTCTATTATAGCAAACTTCTACAGGTCAAGAAAGCTGCAGTGCTTCAGCTAGATTATATTACACCATCAGGGGTTGCAGTATAAAGTTAATGAGACTTCTGCTCCTAGATCCACTTCAAATAATATAGAAAATTCCAAAGTGCCAAGTATAACTTAAGGCTTCTTTACTAGAAAATTTTTGTCCTATGTGTTCACAAAGGGTTCACAAGAACCAAAGTGCTTCTTCTGGCGTCTCTGTTATTTATATTTGGAGGAGGGGTGGGGGAGAGGAAATCAGGGCAGGGGTCTTCTTGTCATAGGGATTGTCAGCAAATAGGTGGGAGCCAAGAATTTCCTGTGGGTTAAGCAAAAGACCAGTATGTTGAAAGTCTAAATCACTTTTCATTGTTAATGCTAAAGCAGTTTTGTTTTGAAATTACCACATATTTTTGCTACAAAGTTTTTCCTAAAAGCAGAGTTTTTAGCCCTTAATCCTAGTGAGTACTTAAGCAGATGCTTAACTTTAAAAACAGGAACAGTCCAGTTGAAATCAATGAGACTGTTCTTATTAACTAAATTTACATACTGCTTGAATATTTGCAAGATCAGAGCCCTAACTTTCAGTATTTTTGTACCTTGTAGCAGTTATGCAAAGACCCCTCCCAGTAATGATATGTAAAGAACAGAAGTGATGATATAATTACAACTTTTAATCCAAAATTGTAATCATCTCTTAAAGCATTAGCTTGAGGTAAATCAACACCTTTTCCTTTAAAGCATGCAATCTATTACTCTACTTGGTAGTTTTTCTAATGTTCATCACTCCTGCTGTTAGGAACAATGCACAGTTTTTAATCCTCTTTAGATAAATCTCTTCACTAAGCAAGGTGTCTACAACCTGTTCAGATAATCAGCACTGTCCATGTCTTCTTTATGGTCAGCCTCGTGCTCTAGTGACATTGTTCCTATGGTTGTGTACTGTTTTTTTTTCCCCTCAGATGCAAGACTTGGATTCCCAGGTGCAGCAAACGTACAGCTTTTTGGACCTATTGAGGACCCGAAATATCCGATCTATCACTATTATGTCAGTGATTCTTTGGTAAGTAAAAGTATGCTCCAAGAATACAAGCATGAAGCCAACAGTAAGTGACTGCTGGCTAAGAATGCTTAAAGAATTATTTATAGGAAGTAGCACAGACAACACAAGTAGTGAGAATTCAAAGGACAAAGAACAGCTTAAGTCAGGTTGAGATGAAGTGCGGGATGTTTTTCATTTGGGGTATGCTACATAGTGATTGTCCTTACACTCTTGGCAGTTATCTCCATCCTTATGAACACAATAATCAAATGCATAAGGAATGGAGGAGCATCAGCTGCCATTCAGTTCCTCCAGGGTCAATATCTCTCGATCTACAAAGAGACGAATTAGGGCTATTGTGATGTAGCTGTAATTTAATAGCTGTTAGAGAAGTTAGTTCAAGTTTATTGTTTAAAAATTACCTTGGCTGGGTTTGTCTGTACAGGAAAGTTAATTCTGATTAATATTAGGCTGTGAATTTAAATTAGACTTGCTCTTCCTCATTACATTCCTGTGGAAGTGAATTCAGCTTGTTCAGACTAACTTGTTCATATTCCAGGATAAAAGTAGTCACAGAATTATTTTGGATTAGGTCTTTAGGAATAATTCTGACTATATACAAGCTACTGAGTGCAGTGCTACTGGGTTTTTGGTTGTTGTTGTTTTTTTTTTCACATTTTATTAATTGATTTATTTAGGATCCTCCCCTGTACAGGACTAGATCCCCACCCCCTCCTCCCCCCCACCCCTTCCCTCACACACAGGCCTGAAAGAAGAGCCTCTCAAAGAACCACAATTATTATATAGTCTGTAAATAGTATTTCCATAAGTGACTTTATCACATTTTTAATTAGATAGTGAATATGAGAAAAGTATTGAACCCATTAACTTATTTAGCCCA